TATATATATATATATCAGTAGTAAATAACAGCCATAATTCGCGAATACATATCATTTTTCATACTAATTTCAAGTGTAATAAGTAAAAATACATTTGAAATTAACAAAAATTATCATAAAACAGATCAAAAAAGCTTAGTACTAATAAAAACAGTAACATATTGTATCAGACTTTGAAACAGTTTTCCATGAAACCTAATTTATTTCATCTAGCACAGATTACGGATAAGAGAATTTAAATCAGTTTGCCTTAATACTTGGTAAATTATTGTGCTCAGAACTAAGCTTACAATCAATTTTAAACTTGAAAATTCAAACTAAACCAATCATTACTCATTGAATGGCAAGTTAAGTATTGTACCACAAAAACTTGCAGGCAATACAAAACGCAGTACTTAGCAGTCGTGATTACCAATGACAAGCTTTGATTAAACTGCTAGCTCTAATTTCTTACTTACTTGTTTACTAGGTAATATTTTGGTTACTCTTTGTCGGAATTATGCAAAATAACGATTTTGGAATTTAATTTGAGAAGAAAGTGTGAAAATTTCAAGTATATTAAAAGCAGAAAAGAAAAGTTAGTACTGGGCATTTTTTGCCTCTTTCGTAGTCACTACTCACTAATTTGGATATAATGAATTTGCAAATTTGAAGACGATTTCTGAATCTTTTCAAGGTAGTTGAATCCTTACATCAAAAAGCCACAAATTGCTTCTTTCAGAGTCATCGACGCAATTACTCTTTTTTTTTGCTTCAAGAAAGAATTAAAAATAAGCAAAAACTGACAAAACTCTAGCTCAATTACCAATAACTTTTTCAACTTCAGTATGAACTTATTTTAAAACAACTAAGATTATAATTTGTCTCCAAGCTTAGTGAATTATAGCGACAGCCATATAAAATTCGTAAGATAGACAGACTTAGTTATAGCAAAAGTAATCAGATACACCTTGAGCAGACCAGAATCCTTCAAAATAGATACTTGCTAAAGCGCTTAATCTGAAACACATTCAGCAATCACATGGTTTTTAAAGATAAAAAACGCAAAACGAATTTATATTCCTAACAAAGCTATAACTTATTCATTTTTTTAGAACTAAAGTAAATAATTTCGTTATAAGGAACTTTCTATATAATATTCATTACTGTAAATTTTAAAAATGATTACGTGCTTTTGGTTGGTTACTTTAAGTAAATATGACTAGCAATTGTCATTCGAAAAAAGTTTTAAAGTTAGAAAAACGATTAATTAATCTTGATAGCAAAAAAAGTTAAATTAAACGATTGAATTACACTAACTGTATTACTCATTAATTTTCTAGCACTAATTTTTAATTAGTTTTCGAGCTTCACATTAAAATATTACTGAAATGAAATGGAAGGGAAAAATTTTTCAATCAACAACTGATCAGCCGTTGCAACCGTACAGCATTATTTTCTCAGTTCTTTTTAATCCCAAAAATTACTAAATTCATTTAAAATGTTCCTCTGAAAATTGCAAAATTATCGCTGATTTTAAGTGAAATTTGAACTTGAAATGAATTCTTCGATATTTCAAACAATATGAGTTGATTTTTGCATAATTATACTTTCTGTCTTTCTGCACTTTATTCAACTTATCAAGCATATCACTGATTCCTTCTCTAACACTGATCACAGTTCACTATATTTAAACCACATACTATAATAATATAATCCAAGTTTGAAATCAACAACTCAATAAAATGAATAACTTGCACTGATATTGAGTACCTAAAAACATAACTTAATTAATGATTAATATAAAATTTAGTCCATTAGAATTAATTAACAGTTTTTTGCTTTAAATTTTGAAATGCTAAATAGCAAAAAAGCTGAGAAAATATGTGCATTTTTTGACTGCAAAACAGTTGGCATGACCGAATGACAAATTGTAGAACTAACTAATGTTTTGATGTATGGACATGTTTTATTCTGACTTTTGACCCGTGTATAACTTTAGAACACTCTGCTATTTGTTGATCAGCTGTTCAATATATTGCAACCTCCTTTAGCTCGTATATTTTATATTGAACTAATAATCAATTGCAATTTAACGTGACATGGATGAGCTAATTGTCAGAAGTAAGAAAATAACCACTGCTCCAGGCTGACCTTTGAATGGTAAAGTGTACAAATTTTGCTTTCTGATTCCATGCAAAAAATGAGGGATTAATTTGAGGCTTGCTAAGTAGATGCAGAAATGTGAGAAACTTTGTGAGAGATTTCGACTTGGAAGAAGAAAGAGAGATAAAGACAAATTCGAAAGTTACTTTTTATTCAAAGTTTTCATCAGAATTGTCGCAAAGAGCAGAAAATTGGCAATTCTGAAAATGACAAATTTTAGAATTAATTTCATTTTCTAGGAGACAAAAATCTTAGCAGAGATGTCAATGAAAGTGTTGAAACAATTAAATTGCTAAAATGATATTAGCATCTTAGAGATGAAAAAGACATGACCATAACAACATTCATTTCTTGCTGTACTCCTCGCAGTGACACAAAGTCTTCCTTTTTATGCATGTATGATGTGATGTACACATCGCAAGAAAAAGCACCATCGGTAGCAGAATCAAAACGAGAATACATATATCACTTTGATGAGGTAGCGAAGACTACTTGTCATCGTAATCAAACCAATTTCAAGTTTCTATTGTAATCTTGTCGTCGTCATAAAATGGAAAAGATGAAACGAGAAATTTCAAATTAAATGAGAAATTTGATTTAGCGATTGGAGAAAAGGAATGAATAAATTTTCAGAAATTGCTTCATATCTATTATATATGTATGCATTGTAGTCTTCATTCCATATCTAATGCTAATTTATTATTTTTGCAAAATTGAGATAATTAAAATCAAAAATTCGTCTGATTTGTACCGAAGAAATTAACTAATAAAATTTCATTTATATATATCAAAAGTAATGCTGAAAGTGATTATATATATGTTTTTATAATTGAAACTTGTTCTCGAGAACTAATTAACCTACCCCACAGTGATTAATTATTCTACTTCAGAACTTGCAAAACAAATGAATCTAATTTCTTCCTTCATGATTTTATTTTTCTTTAATGCAATTCTTGAGGATGCATTGAAATAACTTGAGAATTTATCAAGTAAATGTTATTTTAGAATCAACCAACGACTAGTCTTTATAATATGTAGAATCAACAAATTTGAAATGAGAGATTTAACAGGGCATATCGAGATGATTTGGCAAGGTCAAACACGTTCTGTCTGACTCATTGTTTAGTGTAAGATTGTTGAGAAAATTTTCAGGAAATGTTTTCATATTAGTTTAAGATACTGATCATGTTTGCGTTAGAATGTGATAAACGATCTTATGCGCAGTTGAGACTGATATGATGGATATATGGTGCATGTTGCGGTTACTACTTGATTACAAACATTGCAGTACTAACGTTTGGTTGTAAGTACACACCTCATAATTGTACTTGCAGTTGTAATTGTAGAAACGTTGAATTTGATTGACACAAATCTTGATGATAGAAAATAAAGTATTTTATTTAGCTTTAAAAGCACATGCAAGTGACGTAACTTCATGCGTGATACCGGTATTTTTTTTCCATGTATTCAAATCTTATTTCTTACATACATTGTTGTGAATCATAATGACATTCATGAAATCAATGTTTGTATAGTTTTGAACAATATTTACTTTACTGAAAAAAATAATCTAGAGAATTGTCCTTCTTCACTTTCACATTTATTGTAGCTTTTATAGAAAACTTCAATTAAAGTAAGGTAAGAACATTTCACTTGTATATGTCAGGAAAGCTTTGAGAAAATGCGTTAAAATGGCTAACTATTTCAATTGAACTAAAAGTCCATGACATTTTGCGTGCAGTGTTCCAGGCATTTTCAGTTTTGCTAGTAATATTTGTGGCATATAAACGGAAATCATATATACAATGCAAAATTCTGATTTTTCGAAAATTATATACACAAATTCTGATTTACTAGAAGAAATTTTGAGCCAAAATCATTGACTAAATAAAATACAGTGAATCCTAAGTCATCATTTAAATAAAACTTTGACTTTTTCGAACAATTTGCACAAATAAATATAAATTGAAAAAAAACAACTGGAAACTATTTAAAAAATATATTATTAAGAAGCTGTAGGTACCGCCTTCAAATTAGGTAAACAAGAAACTATCTTCCTAAAGTCTGTTCATCCCCTTGAAGACCTTTCATGCCATTCCGCGAAATATAAGTAACATTTATGTGATATTTATATATTAAAAGAAAGAAATCATACATGTGAATGGAAGAAATTTGCAATATATGAAGAACATATTTATATACCAGATGAGTGAACTCTGCACGATGTAATGAAGGATCCTAGCATGTTGTCTTTAAAACACATCATAAAGTATGAATGTGCTGACGAAATTTAAATGTACGCAGTGAGATTATAAGGAATAATCACTTGTCATTTGCATTAAACTGAACTAAGTAACTTATTTTGTCAGAGATCGAACTTTTTTCAACTTTGGAAAATAATCGTTCAGGCTACCCATTTCTGGAGCAATCGTAGTTTGGACACTTTCGGTACCCTAAAATTAGCAATTTCGACAATCATTCTATACAAATATTCTAAAAGAAAAAGTTTCTGAGAAAACATTAAAAATCGAAAAGCTTCAGACCCAACTTCTTATTCTCAACGAATTTATTTATCTCGTTAATTCTAGCTAAACTGAATCCAACGTTGTTTATTGATAATTACTAACATAGTTAACTGAATTTCTGGACAAAATGAGCAAATCATAATAAATTATGAATTCGTAGACTTACCCGATAGGTATCTGACGACAAGTTGCATGACAGCAAAACATCAAGTTTCTTTTGAATCATTGGCCACAGTACATCATCTGCCGTACCCTTAGCAATTAAGTACTGAACAAAAACAGAATCCTTTTGGCCTACTCTATGTGCACGATCTTCAGCCTGCTTCATGGTCTGAAAGCTCAAGATTTATGGATTTGAACAAGTTATCCTCAAAAATGTACCTTGACAAGGAATGCAATCTTGTAGCAACAATTTTCGATGCTCGCTGAATCTACTAATCAGTCAAAGTATATTGAATCTGCTTACTGATTATATTCAAACTCTGATTAATCCCTTATTCCTACCAATTTTCGATCAGCTGAAACTTTTTCAAGCAATTCTTTTCGAGTACAAACACTTTTCATCAAACATTACCGAAAATCAACACGTTATGATAAAACAAGCGGCTATTTTACGACATATGTCTTTTTTCTAACGATATAGGTGAGATGCATAGACCAAAAATTTCAATTAAATACAAAATCTAAAAAATTCATTTTAACATTTTTAGCTTCAAAACTTCACTTGGAAAGTTACTGCATTTCCTGAATCTATTTAACGACTTTCAGAAAAGTTCTATGTGTTTTGAACCTTCTGCCACCAATGGCCAATAACTTTTTTACTACTTTTTGACATATAATTTAGAGAGACATGCATAATAAAACAAAGATTTAAATGAAAAAGATATCGAGCTTACACCAGGATTCCAATGCAATTCAGCAAACACAACAACTGAAGCAGCAGTTAAAGTAATACCAATACCAGCAGCAGTTATTGATAAAACTGCAACTACTACTTCTTCATTTTCTTGAAATAACCGACACTGCTCATCGCGTGATCGACTAATAGTAGTACCATCGATCCGTATTGATCTCAAGCCCTAACAATGCTTGAAAATAAGCAAAATCTTCAAAAAAACAAGTAAAAATAATAGTTATGCTTTTGTGTTAAATTGTGAAGTATTCAGAATAGCCAACAAAAGCAGTATTCCGAAAACTCAGTAAACAGAAAGTTTTATTATGAAAATTGTCAACTGCTAAATAATTAACCTTTTTAGCAATATCCATAGATATTGTATCGAGGACCATCTGATGATGAGCAAATATTAATACCTTCCTTTTTGGCGCACCATCAAAAAAATAATGATCGATTATATATCTAGCTACACTTCTTGCTTTAGCGATTCCTGTCTCATAATAGTACTCAACCAAGCGCTGCTGTTTCGTATCGTTATCATGAAAAAATTAGTTTTATTGAATAAAGATAATTCACTTCAGACTTCACAATTATATTTTCAAAAGACTAAGTAAGATAGCAATGAAATTCAAATTTAAAACGAAAAAAGCTTTCTCATTTTTTAATTGGCAAAACTTCCTCTGCTCACGAAAGAATCAGAAACCAAACAATAACAGATTTTTATCATATTTGAACCTACAATTTTTCCCCCAATCTACAATTTTTTTTCAACTAGTTATTTTGAAACTTTTGTTAAGAATTTATTGAGTGATAAACCTTGGCGCCATTAAAGGCAGCTTTGGCATCTCGTAGTTTGACAATATTTGTGTAAATAGAATCGTCTTTTAAATAGACAACTTCTCGCCTTTTCATAGGTAAATCGTTCAAGACATCTTGTTTTAATCTTCTAAAAATTTTGGGTTAACAAAAGTAATGAAATTGTAACACAAATTAAGCTTTACATTGTGCAAAAATTTAGTCCACAAAAAAGACAGTATCAAAGGAATATTCACCTTAACATAACGCTACCAGATAAAATAACTGCTAATTCATCACTATTGGTACAACCTTTGGCTTCGAAACTAAATTTTCCCTGTTTACCATCACAATATCGAATTGCAAAATCACGATAATTAGGAAACATTTTAGGATCGATAATACGAATCTGGCTAAATAATTCTACTGGACGTGAAAGAGCTGGCGTTCCAGTCAATAAAATAACTCGTAGTGCTCTTCGCTAAACAGCAATAAATTACTAAGCCATGTGAGAAACAGATGACGTTCGATCTGCTCAGAACCACTGAACGAGAAATAGCAATAAATATAAAACAAAAAATCCTAAATACTTCTTTAATTTATAATCACTGGTGTAAAGGAATCTGAAATCAATCGGTTCTTGATCATTTCTCTTTTTAAAAAAAATGAAAAAAACGTCTTACTCACTTTATTAGTCAAAAAAGAAAAATAAAGAAACAAACCGAAATATCTGTTGCAGCTTTGGTTCTTTGAGCATTACCATCCTTTAGCAAATGAGATTCATCCTTAAAATTAAATTATTCCTTCAAAAGAAAAGCCGTAAAGCTAATTATATAACGGTTTATTCCGGAAATCTTGATTTGCAAACTTTCATTTTAATAATATGAATAATGATCAGAAGAAAAAGCATTATAACTAACAAAAATGATTGATTTGAAGTCATATTCAAAAATATGTGATCGCTTTGAAACCATCAAGTCGTAACTCATAATAACTACTGTCTGCTTGCTTTTCTTAGGCGGTAGACGGTCAATACCTTTCTCGATGATGACAATTTCGAGCAGAGTCGGTAAAAAATTTTCGAACTGCTGCAAAATAGTTGACTAATCAACTCGACAGCTAACGATTACAGTCTATAGAAAGGGAAATGCTGCTGATGAATGAAAATGCAGCCTTAAGTTACGAGTCAATTTGCCAAAAAACAAAAGAATTTGACAAGTTCCATTCCAAAATTAACTACAAATAATTCCTGTCAAAATTTTCCAAATTAAAAAAAACAAATGTAGTATATTTTTTAGAGAAGAGTTAAAACTTCAAAACACACATTTAACCAGGAAAATTTCACAGATGATGGACATATGATGAGTAAGGGCCAATCATGTTTGAAATATCGAGCAATACCAAGTGCCTGGATCGATTTACCAAGTCCCATTTCATCAGCCAAAAGCAATCGTCCTCTTCTTATTATTCCATGTCTAAAGAGTATGACTGAAATTTCTTGCATATTGATTCATACTTACACTATCATATGAAAACAAAACGTACATCACACCTCGGCGCTGATATGGGAAAAGAGCATCAAGTAATGTTTTTTCAATATGAGCCTCGAGATTCGGTTCCTTGAAACCAAGAAATGACTTTCCGTACGTTAATAACGTCTGAAATGAATGAAAACCTCACAGTTACAGATCCTGAAGAAACTAAACAGAAAAAAAAATTTTCTAAACAACGTACTTTCACGACATGGTCAGAAAATTTTTCTATTTCTAGTGAAACATCGTCCATAGCTTGCAAGGCGTTCTCAACTACGGAAACATCCTCCAGCGGAAACACCCAAGTTTTCAGATGAGGATCATAAGCTTTAGATGGAATTGCCTTTAAAGCATTTACTACTGAATGATTGAATGGTTTGAACTGAACCTAAAGTATCACTTCATCACTACCGTTCGCAGTTATTTGCAAAACTTATTTTCTTTTCTGCTTTTCTACCTTAGTAAATGATCACAATTATTCAATCATTAAAATTACAATAGTGAAAAAGGATTTTTCAATACTCAACAAAAACAAGTAACAGCAGATGAAAGAAGTCAATAAAATCATGCCACCTCATTAATAAAGCATCTCTTGTTGTGCCTACTAAAATCTAAACCTTGTTAAATACATAAAGTGTACATCACAAATCTCTCATTTTTCATAACTGAAAAAAATAATGCAAATTTGATATGAAATTCAACAGTTACGCACGCAGGATCTCTCAGACATTCAGCATCATTTTTATGGATTAAGGTAATGTTCAAATAACATTACGTACTTCACTTTATCGAAATTAAGAACATACTGCTTCAAATACTGATATCAACTTACTTGGAAAGACTTCGGATCGATAAGTTTGAATGTAACACTTACAGCACTTTGTCTTAACTCTACTGTGGTGACGACTGAGGATAGTTTAATTGATGATGGAGGAAGTGCTTCCTTACTGTTTTCTTTAATTTTTGATGATGAAGGTTCATCACGATAATTAATTACATATTTTGAGAGTGCGGGAGGACAAGGTAGAGTGCTACCTTTGTCTATTATTACAGTATTTGAATCTTTTACAAGTGAAGGACAAGTTTGCTTGGATGAATCCGAGGATACTATGTCTGGCAGTAATTCAATTTTCATCGATGACAAACTTGAAGACCCACAGTTTATCTCATTTTTGTCGTGATTTATCGCTGAAATGTCTTCCACAGTTGGTGATGAATGTATACCACGCTGCTGACGTAGTGCCATCCGTCGCACTGCTTCAGCTCGGTTTCTTTCAATGCGTTTCAATTGTTCAACAGTTAACGACAAGTTACTAGCCATAATGTCTCGGAATAACAAGTTTCTTATAACAAACAGTCATTAAAAGGACATAATTGCGAATAAATACATAAAAACAACTTTCCTGTAGCTACTTTGCAAACTTAAACTTATCACCAGGTGAGTCATGATATGCAAATATTTTAATACACCCTACTCAAGGTAATAGACGCACTTCATGACAAGCTTTTCTTGCTCTAAGCAAGAACACGCACCGGAATCCCAACAAACTACACATCTCCACGTTTCAAGTGGAGAGCCAAGCAATTGTAAACAATAAGTAAATTGAGCCAATCATCAAATTCCGTAGTTGCCTAGCCATATAAAAATTCCTAATCGACCAATGTCCTACTCGATAGTAACAAGCAACCAGACCATTTTACGAGGCAACACAAGACAGTACCTCTAAGCCCAAAAACCCAGTCTGCAGTTCATAACATCCTTGTCAGGTTATAATGTAAAGTCCGCACCAAATGCTAATCACATTTCCGACTGTCTAACTCGTTTCTTCACCGATATGTATCTGTCAAGATAATGATGCGCACCATTTTCCCGCAAAAAAGCAAATGCAGCCATATTGTTGTCATATTCGTTTTTGTTCAGGGAATATCCCCGTAGCCTTGTGAATAAGAATGATATTTGGTCGTCAAAAATTTATTTCGCAGAAAGAAAAACAAAGGAACGATTAAAGAGACAATACAAACAAGACGGCCAACAACCTTCCCACGAGCTAATCTAGTCACTCCTAGGTATCTAACTTCAATCAAAGAGTACAATTAATCAGAATCATTGACACCTTAAGTCATGATAATTCCTATCAACTCATTACTGTCATAACCCAATGGGAAGTTACGCACTGCTGCTTCATGCTACCTACCATTAACATTTGATTCATACAATGACCGTCAACACCTGCCCTTCTTGTTGTCATAAGCAACTGCTAAAGACGACAATCCTTTTCTCGAAATACTAAATTCAGAAGTTTTTTCCCTTTGTAGAAGTGGTTTGGCTATACTATAATTTAACTAGTAGAAGTGGTTTGGCTATACTATAATAGCTAGTAGAAGTGGTTTGGCTATACTATAATTTAACTAATAATTACTTCTAGTTAATGCAGAAGTAATAATAGTGGTAGAAGCAGTGATTAAACAGCAGTGCATTCTTTTGTGAAGGAAAAGAGCAAACGATGAAGAGAAAATTACACGAACAGTAATTTAGCCAAAAATTAAATAACTGCACAGAGGCAATTCTGAAATCGAATTTCAATAAAACAGTGAAAATTAAAACAATTAAAAACTGCATCGAACAAAGTTATAGTGAAAGAAAAAAACTGCGCCACGAATAAATAATGATGCGTAAATATGAGCAACCATTAGGAAGATGTTTGAAAAAAAATAAAAGTTATAAAACCACTCGATGCTAAAATTAAATAACATCTAGAATATCGAGCATTCATTAAATGTAATGGACAAGACTCTTATTTCCAATATCTGCTATAAAATAAGAAAAATATAATCAAGTGTGTTAAAACCAAATAATAAACTCTTATATAAAGGTTGTGCTTTAAAGCTAAGGTAGAAAATGAGAATGCAATTAGAACTTTTTTCATTAAATTCACATAAAATAAACACCTTGGAATCTAATGATATAGAGCCAGTGGTTTTAACAACACGTTTTTGAAAGTGAGAAAATATGACATTCAGTTACAAAAAATATCTAAAACACATGGATGGTCAGATAAATCCCATTTCGTTACCAATACAACTTTTTTTTTAAATTGAAAAATGACACGAAATTAACTCACATTAAAAAGCAGAAGTCTAACAATGAAAACAAAATCGAATATTAAAACTCTCGCTATATTGAAGCGAGTGAAACCAAACAACTTCTAGGACATTGATGCGGCAAAATATCACAAATAAAAATTCAATGCGTTTAACAAATTCCAAGCACATTAAATCTTATTCTTGATCGCCAAAAACAACATCAATCACATGAAAAATAAAGGAGACAGCAATGACTTAAAAATGTCTGCTGCACAATAAAGAATCATAAACGCATGAACGTTTACAGAAAGCAATGTTTAACAAAAATAAATACTATGATGCCACAGCTTTCAAATGTGCCTGAGAACGAGAATCCCGTCTACATATGATTCACAACAGTGTTTACATATGCTTATATTATATATACTATCTTTAAGTAACTTATAATGAACTAAACATCCCCAAATCCACGAATAAAATTTCACTCCATACCAGATTTGGAAACAGAGTATTGTTAACGTGTGTGCATGATCGTTTCCATCGTCTCATAAATACCACTCAACTCATTAACCGAAATCAAACCTGATTAAAAACATTATTATTTCTACACTAAAAAGTGCAAACAAAAACGGTAAAAAGGTTAGACAATGGACAAATATGAAAGCACAAATCGGAACAATATTTGACGAACATGACTGCTGACTCCAAACCATACACATACATGTTCAAACATCACATCCCGCAAACATTAATCATTGTGCATCGTCAGTACTACAGAAAATAATAAACCTATAATCAAACAGATGTAAAATGTAGAACTCCTCAAAATAAAGATGTAACAGAGAACTATTTCTCTATAATTTTTCATTGTAGACGCAGATAAAACTACTATTCTTTTTTTTGAATTCAATGCAAACAAAATGACTAGATGAGTTACGGGAGCAGCATACAACTTGATAAAAAATTAGCGATAATGAATACAGGAGTGACGAACTTTTAAAACCAAACTGGATAAGGCGCACAACAGTTTTTTTGGGATTTTTATTATTATGAATACAATACCAATGTATAAACTTGGACGCGAGTGGATGAATTGAAACAAGCAAAAAGTAGAACTATTCGAAAATTTCAGTGAACTTACGAGAAAAGACCTATAGTAAAAAATTAAAAATAACGATAACAGCAATTATTAAAAGGATGATTTACAATGCTGAGCTTCGATGCAACTAGCTCAAAGAAAATTAACAAGATGGTATGCCAGAAACTGCTACTTGAAATACGACTAGAAAGTTAACCAGCATATACATATATAGCAGTTAACTGATAAACTAGAACACAGTGCTAACTAATTCTAGAACAATGTAATAATTGAAGGCAATATAAAAAATACTGGAAAACAAGTGAGGGTAACTTATCGCTTATCGCCTGGGAGGAGCAGTTGCCTTCATGCTATCTACCGATAGCTCATTTTTAGCTGCTACAGCAGGCTGAAAAAAATAAAAATACAACACTTCATCTTTCCTTACTACTGAGAACATTAAATTATAAATTTAACCGAAAAGTAACAGCATATATTCCCTGTAACATGAAAAACAAGCGCTAGAAAGCTTGATTACAAAAATCTGTGTTGAGAGCTCTGATCTAGATTAATTCATCTTATTATTAATCATTATCTAAACAAAGTATAAAGAAGCAGACAAAGTAAATCTAGTACATAAGGAGAACTTATTTACTAACAAAAAAACCAACATCGTATTTAAAATCGTCCAAATTTTTGTACTGTGCGAGTTTTCTCTTTAGAAACGGATTAATCTCCAGGCATCTCGAATGTTTGTAGAATTTCAAAAAAGCCCAAAACTTCTCCAACCCGTAGAGTTCACCTCGTTTAATATCATTTATTGTCTCATCTTGAAAATCTAAGTATATGTTTGGTCTAAACTTACGTTCCAAACCAAAATTGTAGAATCGAAATAGACACTCCAAACCGTACCTGAAAGTTAAGAAAAAAAGTAAAAAAGTTCACCAATCAAACGAAAAATCACAATAGATTAAACTTGCACAATGCAAACCTGTAACCCGCTTCTGCATCTTCAATTGCTAACTTCCTGAATTCCTGATACATTTTTCGATTGAAATGATCTCGTAGAAAGAAAGATAGAAAACGAAAGAAAGTATTCATTTCAACCGTGCCATAACCTAAGTGCTCTCTTTTCTGAAGACAAGATTGCCGCCAATTTGTGTATACCTAAAACGTTTATTTCTTTCAGTACAAGCTTATTTGAAATCAAATACATTTCAACTTAAAAAACTTTTGAAAACCAATTTGCAATAACAAAGTGAAAAACACCTACTTCTTCCTGGAATCCATTTTCTTTTAATAAACTCATGGCCACATGTAAGGCAGGAACAGCTACTACTTGCCCACTCGTTGACTGTGAAGACTCGCTAAATCAGTACTCAATTAACATGCGAAAAAATAATGCACAATCATGAAGAAAATGATTTTAGTCACTTCTACTAATTTGAATCACCTATTTCATAAACTTACGCCATCATTGATAATGTTCTAGCGCTAGTGCCAAAAACCCAACCAACAGGTACTTCAATTGGAGGAGCTATACTATGACGAGTTTTGTGCTTTCTTGGCTGTGATAAATCAAGAATAACATCTTCCTTTACTGGATAAAAACGAGGCAACAGCACGCCAGATTCTGATTCGCGTCTTGCGACTGGGCTCTTGGCTTCCAACATCTTATATTAAATTAATATTAATTAAATTGAAACAAGAATAATTTGATCTCGACAACTTAAATGAAAGTGAGCACAGACAAGAGTCATACCATGGAAGCAGCACTAGCAGCAGCTCTTTCACGAGCCTTCTGTGCCCAAACTGAAGAAACTTCTGGAACTGTATTAGAAGAAGGAAAAACTTTCGGTGGATGCTCCTGCTCATTATTATTAGTTGCTTTATTTTCCCCTTTAAGCACTTTGAATTCTTCCTCCGAAACCGTCTCAACTTTATTAACATGAGTCTGAAATTACAAACTCAACATATAATAAAAGTCACCTATGCATAAAGAAACTGAATACTGCAAGACTAATCACGATACCGAGCGACTCTCATGACGACTCCAAAGCTCATTTTCATATCGCCTAAGCCCATATTCCATTTCTTCCCAAAGATTCTGATTCATCTTCGTACGAGTTGTGAAATTCCCAGTGCGATCAAACTGCTTTTTATTAGATGGTGTTACAATGATCAGCTTCTTGATATTGGTGTCGCTAATATCTTCAGAAGAATCATCAGACATAACACTGAAGCATTTATTTTTAAACTTTGAAGTAAATGATTTTCTTTGAATTAAAAGCCACACTTTTCTTAATAACCTGTTCGGTTCTGTACGGATACAGTTGAAAACATCTATTGATCGCTGGAAGCAAATCATCGAACTTACACTTTCTCGGGTACCATTCTCCTTTCCCGCCTTGGCAACTCAGGAACCGAAAAAAAATTGTCACTATGAAAGTCATTGTCACGGCGTGTAGGAGGCGATAAAACAGCATGACGCGACGCTGATTTGCCCATCATCCCATATGCTTTACTCTTCCTATGCTTTCGACTTTTAACCTGAAAATTCCCAATTCACTGTATCATAAAACTAATAACTAAATAATAAAAAAATAGCCTGAAAAAACGTATTACGAATCAAATGCACTGCTCAGCAAGCTCACATTTAAAAATGATAAAACAACTAACTTCTTGCCAATCTTCTACTTCTATATCTTTATTTTGCTCTTGATTCAGTTCGGCCTCAACGTTATCTTCATCATTTTTTTTGTGAACGACTGACATTTCGCCACACGTATCACTCTCTAGTACATGACCATCTCTATTTGAACCCGGACCTGATTTGTCTGAAAGCGGTACAGAACGACTAACTACCACTTCATTGGTGGTTTCATCAGTAGTATGCTGCTCCGAATTTCTCCCCTGCCTTTGAATTTGCATGGGTTCTGAAGAAAGGGACGATTGTAATTCACTTTGTATCAAGGAATTAGAATTCGATGCTTCTGGTGTTTGCACTGATAACGCCGATGAAACTTGCTGAGACATCAACGATGATACAGAATTTACTGTGTTCGCAGCTGACGATGCTGCAGCTACTTGATGAACTACACTATTATCGATATAATGGGGTATGGCTGGCGAAAGAGGCCACTGTTGAGGATTATCGAGCGGACGAACCTGTAGAAACAAAGTGAAGGAAGTAAAAAATGGAACACATAGTAAACAAGGAAATGAGAGCAAATATTGACTGAAACATATCGAAATTGCTTCGAAATATTAATAAACTACCATTGTAGACAAAGAACGTAAGAAATGCATCATACGTAAGAAAAGCATGATACAGAAAAATTTGTCTCGAAAAACAATTAAGTTGAAGAAATTACTAACGTATTTAGCATCTTCGCTAAGCTCCACTTTGTCACTGCTGCGTAAAGCTTCTGTGATCAGATCAATGTTGGAAGTGAGCGTACGGACGCGTGGGAAACTAGCTATTAATGCCAGTGACAGAAAACCGTTCTCATCCATCTTTCTTCGCAAGTAAAAGTCTTTTTGAAGATTTTCCGATGAGAAGTAATATTCTCTACAATAAAATATCAATTTTTAGTGACAAATATAGCACGCCAAAATTGCTGACCTAATAACGTTTTGTTTCATGGAAAAAATTATTTCGTCATAATACGAAGAATATGTTGAAAACTGATACAGTTACAAGAGACATAGAAAGCTGATGCAAGAAAAGTAACAATAGGAAAAACATTAAAGAAGTAGGCAATAGCACTAAGATGCAGATTAGTTGGTATTTGACTGAATTACTGAACTACAAAATAAAGAAGTAAACAACTTACATTTGGAATCTGACGCAGTCTTTTAAAGTTTCCTTCGAAACTGGTGTTTGAGATGGAAAAGAAGGAAAAGCTGCGTTGAAAGGCAGAGCCACAGGAGTGACGATAGGAGCAGGAATGAATTCCCCTTTGTTTGTAATAACTGCAGCAGTAGCGCCAGGAGACAATAAAGCATTCGGCGTTGTGGGCACATTATTGGAAGCGAGTGAAGATGCAACGCTGTCTGGGCGCGACTCCGCAATGACAGCAGCAGGTGCTGCAGCAAGAGTAGGTGGGGGATGGGAAAGTAGATGTGGATTAAAGGGAGAAAGATGAGAATGTCGAAAACTGAGGGCAGCCATTTGCTGTTGCGTCTGGAACATCATGCTTGCAGCAGGAAAAGCAGCTGCCAATGAAGGATCCAGGCAAGTGGAACTAGGGTCAAATGGAGGGATGGTGGAGACCGCGTAGAACTGCGCGTACTGAGACTCCATCAAATCCATATAATCAAAGTTGTCATCATCACCGGTACACTCATCCCAGTCTGGTAGAGGTCCTCGTGCTCGTCTCTGCGCCGGTGTCAGTTTTGGAGGCGCTTGAGGATGAGACCCACGCGGTTGCCATTTATCGTTCCGCTGGAAAAAAGGTCTATTCCGCTCACCCATCTCATCTGCAACCGTAGCACTTGCTGCAGATGCTGTACCGATCGCTCCTCCTCGTTCATATTGGTACGAGTGCTGCTGCTGTTGCTGATGTTGGCGACGAATCGCATCTGCGGCTGAGCCACCATTCTTGTGCCAATAGTCCACCCCGCTCATTCTATTAGCAACCATGGGCGCACGTACAAAATGTGCCTGACCAAAGTATGGTCGATGACGATTTGAACCATTCTGAAGTGCCATAGCTGCTGCTGACGTTGTAGCCCACTGCTGCTGGTTGATTCCATTAGGTGCAGTCGCTGACATGACCGTCGTCGCTTCGTCTCGCTTGTTATACCTGCAGAAAATGCCAACATCAATTCATTATTTTGCAATACTTGGATTACTGGTACATCATACAAATATGATGGCTGAATTTTGTGTTATATGTTCAATCAACAGCAGTCTCATGATGTATGAGGCATGACAGATTCCATAAAACATCATGCATTATATACTGAGAGTGATTAATATGACTACAACCGTAATAACAACAATTCATATTTACTGGTATCAGGTTTTGTACCTCTATCAAAAATGAAATAACATTCATCAAGTTTTGCTTCTTTCAACGTAGTGATATGATGATATCAAAAATGAATTTCTTGGCAGATATTAGCATATTTTTAAAAGAACAAATGTTAATCATAACTGTTCCTTTTGAAAAAGAAAAAAATTGAGACCAAAGTGAATTTTGGTTTTTAAAAACAGTTATATAAGATATGCTTCCTTGATCCTGTAATGAAAGTTTTCTCACATCAAGCAAATGTAAAAACACCCTTCCCTTCCTCATATTCTTCATAGACGTATAAAGTGACTCCAGAATATTGAACAAAAGCTGTCGTGTGATGGAAATTAAAGTTATGAATGAGGCGGAAATGTTGTCCTATTAATCCGCTCTTTATTGCAATATTGAACTGTTATAAGTGACAAGCCTCAGATATCACACTTTCAGATGATCACCAGGTTTTGTCGTTTTAAAGACCTAATTGGTCTTT